GGTGCTGCAGGTAGCTGCCAATGGACAGTACTGGCTTCCGCAAGTGGCAAAGGCAAAACTTTCCCCAGCATCTCTGGACAACAGACAAAAGTGGGCAGTGGACATACTTCAGTCTCTTGTACTTTTAGTAGGGCCAAAAGGAACAGGTTTAGGGAGATGTTGCTTGGGCAGTGTGCATGGCCACTGCTTCTGCAGTTGCAGTTCCTCTGTATGTGTAACCTATTCTCTGTAGGGACAATTCAGGGTGGTTTTCATTTCCACTTAACCAATCTCAGGCTGCCAAGGTCGTGTGTCACCAAAAGTCATGACAGTCTGGCAGCTGTTGGACAACCTGTATAAAGTGAGTTTGGTTTCAGCCCAAATGCTGAAGGAGAGCTGGACACTTCATGAAACCCACTGCTCCATTGGGCATGCTGGGTATCCTGCAAAGCCAAATGTTGCAGGGACAGGGTGACCTGACTCTAGCAAGAGCATTGGTCCCTCATGTTCATGGTTGAGGTCCCTTTTTTAGCAGTGGGAACGAGGATGGCTGTGATTTTGGGGACTGCTGCCAGGATCTGGGAGGCCAGGAGCTCTACACTGCAGATCAGATGCTGAACTCTCCTCTGGTGAGGTCTGCTAGATGCAAAGCTGAGAGTAGTGGTACTTAGTCCTGCAGGTGGGCGTCAGCTATGGACTATGAGGTTTTGAGAAGAGCTGTAAAATCCAACACAGATAAACTTACAAGTAAACCCTGCAGTGACTACCCTTAATAGGTTCCTTTCTGCAACTCTGGTGAAATATTTAGCCTCTTTCAATCACAACCAGATATAGCTGACTTCTGTCTCTTTGATATGCAAGCATTTTTTCATGCAGTTTTGTACTGTTTTGTTTGGTTTGGTTTTTTTCTTCAACAATACCTCCAAAACTCTTTCCATGTAATAATTAGTTAACTGCACTTCAGAATTTAATAGTTTGGGGAACTTTTCTTATTGATAATACCAGGCAGTTCACTGAGAAACACAGTAACATAGAAATCTTCTGCTGAAATCATATCAGACATCTCAGAATTTTTCTGACAGAAACCATTCTGTTCTGGTTTATTTTTGCTGGGCTGATGTTTACACTGCCATGTAACAGCAATAATAATAATTAAAAAAAATACCTTTTTACATTATTTGTTGTTGAATTTATCTGATTTAGACATGGCACTTTCTGAACTTTAGTCAAATAACTGGCATCTGAAATCAATAAAAGACAAGTGCAAGTGCAATTCATTGCTTCTTTGTGAGTCAAACATTCCAGCCCCAAAATAAACATCTGCCAAAAAAAAAAGGACATTTCAATGGGATGTCACATGTGAGAACTACCTGAGGGCAAATAAATGTGGGGATCACATTCTTATCACCCCTTTCTGATAATAATAGCCTGGTCACTGGGGACAGCCTGTTAGTGTTGGCCCACTGGGTCAGATAACAATCCTGAGTCTCTCCCTCTCTTCCCCCGCTGTGACCTGGCCCATCTGCTTCTCTCTGGCCATATGGTACAGAAGTATGTGGGACTGAAGACATTATACTTTTATGCATCTCATTGCTCCTTGCTTTCATTGAAGTTTTGCTGACACGACATTCCTTTGAATATTCCTTGACAAAAGTGGGGTTTGTTTTGGTTTTGGTTTTCATTTCAGACAGTATAAATGAACACCAAGGTTTATATCAACAGAGGAGACGTAATAGATATATAAGGTAGGAAAGCTGGCCATGCATTGCCTCCCAGCTTACCTTAAATGCAATGTTATTTATCCTGCTCTTAACAACTAAAATAGAGCCCAGCATATGCAAAAGAGCAAGGGTTTTTTGATTCATAAATAACAGGGAGTCTAACACGGTCCCTGAGTGTCATGGACAAAGCACAGTCCAATCTGAAAGTTGTAATACTGCTTTACAAAAAGTGAAGAAATTAAACCCACTGGGACAAACTGTGCTCGGACCCAGCATCTTTCCCCTTCTCCAGACCAGGCAAGGGAGCTTCTGGGATGTTGCAGCTCTCTACCTTGCTGTTGCTGAGGTCTCAACCATGGCCACTGCTCATGGGGCCTGTCAGCCATGCTCTGGAAGTGTTGGCCCTCAGAGGCCTTCATCTGACCAGCACGATATGGCCCCAAAGCCTCCCCGAAGGACCCATCCATCCCCTTTCCCAGGCAGTCCTTGGGCACAGAGAACACACAGTTATATCCTCCACTTAGGGCAAATGTCCAATTAAGCCTAATGAGAACTCAACCCAGGCATCAAAGAAGGGACAGATAATAGCAAATGCACAATACTCATCTTCAATGGTCCCTTTGCCAAGAGGAGGATGTAATTATTGCATAATAAAGCCTATATGTTCATCCTGGGGCCTCTCTCACTGGGATCTCTGGACATTGCAGCAACCACCTGAATGATGGAGGCCTGAGCTGGAAAAGTAAAATAGGGATTATTATACAAATATCACCACAATGAGCTGATTTACAAATTCTCTGAGGGAAGTGCCCAGAAGCATGGTTGTCTTTCTGTAAAAATTTTTAATACCAATAAAACCCCAAATAGTCAAATCTGTATCTATGTCACTCCCTCCCCTCATATTTCTCACAGGGTCCCTCATGTTTTCACCTGCCTTGTGGAAAGTCCCACAAAATATGTCATGTAAAGCTCCAGAGAATTTTAAAATCGGTGAGTGTCTTTAGAATAATGCAAGGTTTTGGCCTATGTTTTCACTTTGTCAATCAATCCTGTTATTTCACAGTTCCAGGGAGGTACCTAAAATTTGTTCATTAAAAAAAAAAAAAATAGTGTTATGACAGGCTCAACAAATCTAGAGATTTACTGTCTGAGGCTATGTTTAATGCCTATAAGTCAGAAATTAAAGAACAGATTTTCTTGAGATGTCTGAAAATTCAGACGTGATTGAGAGTCTGAGTGCTGGAATTTGATGTAGATAGGCTGCCTTTCCTGCCAGACAAAGAGCCTGACCACCTGCTGCCTCTGTAAAATAGACCCCCAACCTCATGATGTCAGAGTGAGTTTTGCCATATCCTGGCCCAGCATTTAATGGATCAAAATTGGTAAGTCCATCACCCTCTGCTGCTGAGTCTGTCTGTATGTGCTGGAAGGGACACCGGCAGCACTATTCAAGGAAAAGGGGAAAATAAAGAGGGAAGTAGAGAGACAACCTCATCTTCCTCTCCAGCCATCCTGTTTATCAGTGAAACATGATAAGACTCACATCACCTGAAAAGTAATACTATCCTTTGCATTATTACCTTTCCGACTCCTCTTTAGCTGGGAAAATTTTACACTCAGAAAGCGAGATTTGAAACCTATTAAGCAGTATGCCATTTCACAGGTTGTTTTGCACCTCAGTAGTGATTGTGGAGCAACGCTTGCTGACCTGCTGCTAAAGGGAAAACCGTATTCTTCCCGTAATCCCAGGCTTGACAGTCATTCTCCTCCTTTCCCTTCAGAGAAACTAATACTCCGAATCTGGATTGAGTGTTCTGGGGGAGGCAGAGATGTCTGAAAAGTCAATATCATTATTGTGTCTATATTTAGAGTTTGAAAGGGATATAGCTTTGTGATGAAACCAGATGCTTCAGTTTTCCATAGGTTTGTGGGTTTTTCTTCTTTTCCTTTTATTACCCTTTACTGATGTATCCCTCCTAATAACAAGGCATACAAAGATGTATGTTGATGTTGTGCACACACACACCACCCTGACACATGCAAAGGCTGCGTGTGAAGCAGCAGTGGCTGTATATTGCTAGCACTGACAGTCTACAGTTAGTACAACTATAGTCACTGAGATGGCCTACACCATCAGATTGTTCATTTACAGAAAAGGATCCCTCTCTCTTTGCTTAAGCTTTCACTGCCTAATTCCAAAAGGAAAAAAAAAAAACAACCTCCAGAAAACCTGCCATAAAAAAAACCTAAAAGCAGATAAGAATGTGACACATTTATTAGGTGATGTGACACCTACCATTAAATTGTTATTTCCTTTAAAAAGGCTACTCTCTTCAACAGAGATGAGGAGGGAAGAGATGAAAGCAAAAATTTATTTATTTGGCAGTTGCATTCAGTGATGGCTCAGAAACGCTTTGGACCAGGGACTTCTTGTATTAGGGGCTGTATGGAAGTGTGTTAAGAGTCATAGAATGTAATCATGTGGTATTGTATGCATCATATCACAGAATTTCATATGGAATATGAATAATTGCTAAAGTGAGTTTCTCAGCAATCTACAACAATCTCATCATAGCTACAATCTACCTCCCTCTTTACAGTATCTTTGTTTCCTAAAATATGCAAATAGAGTTATAAAAAGTTTCAGAATAATGTATTATTAAGAGTTTATGTAGTTTTATGATTCAATCAAGAAACTTATTCTTAGTTCACAGTATCAAACATATACATACATGTTGCTACATAACCTATTGTGGAACTAAAGTGGTTATTGCAGTATACTTTTCACAGTTTAAGAATATGTTCTAACAAAAATCACAATGCCAAATAAAAGTACACTGCCAAATACTGGCCTTTACTATTATAGTCACAAATGCACATTGTTTGTTTCACCACTTCGTTCCCTGGTGGGAGAACTTGCACAAATACCCTGAGCCTGTAAGTCTTTAAGAACCATACTGTGTATTTATGAACCTCTTGATACTATACTATATGCTATGCTATATACTGAATTATATACAGTCAACAATAATCTTCAGTGAAAAGGATTTCTTGTAGGAAATCATACTCATGCTTATCCAATATCCTGTTGCAAGAAGGGACCGTACATGTCATTTCACAGAATGATGCAAACAGCCCAGAAGCTGGTGATTAGGAGATAATGTGCTCTTGGGGAAAGGCTCTTCCCAAACGATGGATGGGGATGATGCCCTCAAGCCAGAGAGTTCATCTCTTGTTCTAACTTTTTGCTTCTGACGTTTGATACTTTGATGCTGAGTTCTCTTGTTTTTCCAGATAAGTGTTCAGCGATTGATCGAGCAAACCAGAGGTTTGAGTTGTAAGGCTGGACTGAAGTTGGATGAATAGAGCATGTTAAGTCCCAGGGAGAGAGGCTGATGAAAGAGCACACAAAAAGGGTGAATGGTGGCTTTCTTATAAATTCATTTACAAACATGTTAATAGAAGAGTGATTCTTTTTACTGCTCTCTTTTCCATTTTCTAATGTGAACTCTTCTGCACAAAATCTACTTTTATCACAGGCTAATTTTCATTTTTACATATAAAAATCTCTATTACTGCCTCAACACACAGTCATGATTTCTTCTGTTTTGTGAATATATGAATGAAACCAAAATCAACTTGACACCCGTCTGTACAGTACGAAGACTGAGATGGGGTACAAGCTTGAACTTTTGCAAAGCTGAGTAATACTAGACTGTTATCTTGTCATTAAGAATTGCTTTGAGTCCCTATCTGTTCAGCAACTCTAATTAATGATCATTTAACTGTACTGTCAGCCCCGTTTAAATTTGAGTGTTGCCAGTTGCTTCCTTCATGCGGGCAGCCAATAGGTGCTGGGGGAGTCATTCATGCATAGCATTGTCCCAGTGGCGCTGGGCCTATAGCATCCCAGTTTAATAGGGCATTCAGGGCTCATTAGTGAGGAAACACATCAGGAGTGACCGCTCCACTGCCACACGTTGCAACTAATAGCCTCGCCGAACAGAATCGTTTCTGTTTCTGCTCACTTGTTTTTGAATCCTTTCAATGTCAACAAGTGGTCATGTCGGCAGGAGCCCGCCATTCTCCCCAACAGTTTTATCCGTTGCTCTCCTGAGCCAGACTTGTGTCCTCCTCCATTGTTCCAGCCACAATGGAGCCTGAGCAATCACAAAGGCTTCACAGCCATTCATCATCAGCTCACGAATTCTGGGGTTGAGATTACCCGCCAAAGTTTTGGGCCATCATTTTGGCATAATGTGTGAATGCCCGTGAAATACAAATAGTTTCTGAAGTTTACATTTTTGTTACAAATGCACAGGGTGGTGGAGGGGGGGGGGCTGTGTTAGGGGCTACTGGATGGAGAGAAAGAAGAGGAAATAAAACCTGACATCACTCTAGCTAAAAATAGAAAAGATCCTGTGGAGGGGAGATAAGAGACAATGAGATTTCTGCTGGAACGAGAGGTGTAGAAAGGAGCAACCGGGGAAAAGGAGGTGTGTCCAAAAAGGTATAATCGCACTTTTGGCTCACAGATTTGGAAACAATCCCTTGGCTTTGGCAAGGAGGCACGGGCAGCTCTTGTGTTGCTGGAATCCAGGAGGTACAGAGACAGGGTGCTCCTGATTGAGCTCCCCTCCTTCCGTTCATGGAAATAACCAGCATTTTTTCCTGGTTACTGGAAACATGACTGGCAAAAGGCTCTCTAGAAGCATACATCTGCTGCTTGTTATTTGTATTAGGTTAGCATTTAGCCCCTGTTGTGCTAAATAGAGAATAAATGGATGTTTTGCACCTGGAAACATGAGATCTGAAGATGTAGTGACTTTACTAGGGTCATACTATGGAAGTCAGAGATGAGAATCAAAGCTAAAGTGTGCATGTGTGTGTGTTTGTTAGCTTATTTTGTTCGTTGCTTCCACAGTGTCATGTCCTTCTCTACATTTGAAGTCACTGGGCTGAATCCTGCCTGCTTGAATGCTGGGCAAAGCAGACATTCATTTGTTGTGGACTGGCTACTGCCCAGACATGCTCAATGCACCCAAAGCATCCTCCAAATGATCCACTTGGGATGATAGAGTGCACTGTGACCACAGTGCATAACAGCGCCATCAGATGTTGGTTGGGCACATGGCAGAGAGCTTGCTGGACTCTTCCACCTCTCCCTTACCACATGTTGTTTCATGGAGTTTACATTGTGTTGGTTTCGCCTGAGTAAGGAATAATGACTAAATCCCAGTTAAAAGGATTTGATTTGGAAAGTTTTGGAAACATTTGGAAATCCCTGTGAGTATCCTACACAGTATCCTACAGTCTCTTCCCGGTCATTTTAACAAGCCGGGAAAGTTACAAGGTGACAAAAAGTATTCATAAGAAAAGTAAAAGGGGCTTTTTTTTTGTCTGTCACTGAAGAATTAAGTTTGTCAGAAAACACAATCATAGCCAAAGATGCTTTTCAGTACAAACACCTAGAAATGGTCTCCTATTCCACCGTACACTGTGTATCAACTACAGATTTCTCTTTTTTACCTGTTACAATTATCAGAATGGGGAAAAAAATTAAACTGTTTTTTTTCTTCCCAACAGGTCAGTGTCCACTTTATGGCCCAGGCTACTATAAAAGTACCAAGAAGCACTGCATGTGTATCTCCTGACAAGAGTTTTGTGTGTAGAGCTACAGCAGTCTCCACTGTCACAGGTAATAGGAAACAGCAGAACGTTTTTAGGCCATGCCTTATGTGATCATTGCCATTTGAAAACAGCCACAATCCACTAATTCTGTAAATACTGTGTTTCCTGTTATCACGTTAAGATCTGCTGCAATACTAAAGGACTAACTTTGGAAAGCAGGCTCTGTGTAATTCCTAGTTATATATTGTGTAGTTACACCCAACTGATACTGCAGCAGGGCAGGTGTTTCTTCTTGTCTCCCATGGTGAAAAGCAGGAATATTCCAAGAAAAACAGCCACCTGCAGTATGCTTCAGTGCTGTTTATAGTTTGGGTATAAATTAATGAGCATGATCTGGTCTTACTTTGAAACTAGGTTGGAATAATCCCACTGATTTCATTCCTGTGTGGTACACACACCTGTGAGGAGTCAAACCCCTGCTTGAAAATCTTGAATTCCAGTTGTTCTGGTAATTACCATGTATAACTCTTGGGTGAGTCATCACTGCTAGTAAAGTCTTTATGAAACACAATAAAATAAATACTATGAAGTTAAAGTCCCAGCTACAGTAGACACCCATACGGGATTTAGTAAGAGACAGACTCACAGATACATCCATAAACTGCACCTTCAAGAGCCCAGAGTATTCATTATCCAGGAGCATCCCCAGATCCAAGTGGGGTGCTAAAGCTGCATAAGAAAGATAAGAAGACAAATGCAGTCAGGAAGTAAAAGTGGGGAACAATATAGGCTACAGGTAACTCTTTGCTGCATTTTGCATGTTACTGATGGGCACAGGAAACACAGATTGTCATGTCTTGCAGACAAAATAAGCAGGAGAACATCACAATGAGGTATCTCAGCAGGTTTATGTGTAGTCTAAGTACATTCTAGACACCAGGACTTAAATGGGCATATCCATGTCAACACAACATCTTTAGGGATCCTTGGAAATACTAGAACAGGGACCCCACCTGTGCCTGGTGGGGTTAGGCAGCAGCTTGTCAGAATTTACACGTAGATGTGTTTTGTGGAGCAATGGAGTAAATCCTGACCTTGGTAAATCAGAGGGGGTTTTGGCCTCAGTATGTTTTCAGGTACTTGTCCCAGTCACTTTTACCAGTCCCATAATGGTATGCATCTATTCAAGCCTTTCAAGGACAGAATATTTCTTTTTTCTTTTCTTTCTTTCTTTTTTTTTTTCTTTTTTTTTTCTCTTCTCTCTAAAGCAGCTTATGAAAGAGGTAACTGCTCCTTTTCACAGTCAAAGTAGGATATTCTGAACAGAATGCTAACTAGACTTGGGGCCAGACTGGAGAAGGGTTTGGGTGGTTTTCAAATCTGGGTTTTTGGTGTCAAGATCATAAATAATAATATATAGAGAAAAGCATATCTGGAAAATTCATAGATATCAGACTGACATTTCTTTAGTTTTTCTAAAAGTTTGATGTTTTCCCTAAGAGAAGGGAAATCACAGTATGCAAAAAATTATATATTTTTTCTTTTTTTTTCTTTTTCTGTTGTTGTTGAATTTTGCAGCAGTTTTATGAGATTGTTGATTAGTTGCATAGACCTGAAGGCCTTGGTATTGAAAATGTTCTAGCTGAGCTGTATGTAGCGCTCTGTATCTGGTTACCAGGTCTCTTAAGTCCAGGTCCTACAAAGACACAATGGTATGCATCTGCCTAAACAGAAACTACTCATTTGCTTAAAATTCTGTACATTGTGACAAGTTTTTGTTATTCTGAAAAAGAAATTCAGTGAAAGTTATGTGAATGCCTAAATTTGTGGATTTGGAGCATGTGTGTGGACAAAGCAGTAAACTGAGATATATGCTTGCCTCCCAAAGGGTAGGTTTTTCATTAAAAAATGCTTTTTATTCATAGCTTCTGAACACTATGTGCAACACTATGTGTTGCACTATATAGAGAGTAAGCTGGGGTTTTTTAGTATAATGTCGGATGAAAGTAGTCTATAGGGAATTATTCTGAACTATAATGAGCCACTGACTGGGAGCAAGCTTTGTCTGTGATACTAGTCACACGGGTGCATGATATTGATTTCTCGTATCAGATACAATGTTGGTATTTCAAAATGCCACATCTGCACCACAGCTTCTTTTCTTATCAACAGCAGATACATTTTTCAGCGGTAAATAAATTGAGCACCTGAGATGCGACATAGGTATGTAAGAACCCAAGTCCCATGTTGCTCAGTCTTGCTTTGTATTCTGCATTTGGCTCCAAGTGGTTTTTTTTAAGCGAAAAGGTTATGTCCAGCTCAAGTCAAACCAAAAGTCTCCCTTATCTCTATGATGATGCAGCAGTTCATTCTACCTTTTTTTTCCCATGCTTTACATCTGAAACTTCTCAGTTTAAACAACAATATTTATGCAGTAGGGGTAAGCTTAGATAAAACAGTAGAATAAGATAGCTTAAGAGTGGTAGTGAGAGGAGAAAGCTTAGACTTCAATAACAGTCCCAGGGAACTGATGAAAGGGTTAATATGATGATCAAGCATCAGCCAACCCACTTTTCACTGCTACATGCTCCTCTGAACATGACAATTGCCTTTGGTGCAGAGTTTTACGGCCTCAAAAGTGACAATCCTCACACTTTCTAGGGATGTGATTTTGTGACTTGGGAGTAATTCTGATTATCGGGTGAAAAACCAAGTGAGCAAAACCAAACCCTGTGTTCTAGTGCAAACTTTGTGGCATAGCCATTGGTTTCTCTCTCTCTTTTTTTTTTTTTCTTTTTGGCAAGTAATTTAAAGAATAGCCTTTCCTTGTTGATTGCTCTACCATTCATCCGACAGCATATGGTTTTTGTCTTGGGAATCATCCAACATGTCACAAAGGCAGTGATACTGGACAGTTACTAGGCAGCTTTTGTATACTTTGGGGATAGGGGAAGATGGTATTTTAATAGATTTCCTTGGGGATCTCTTAGAAGGATAATTTAATTGTTGAAATCAAATTTTGGACCCCTGTCACAAATCATTACCTTATCTTTCATCCATCTATTCCCTTGTTGTTCAAACTAATAAAACATGCACACTGTTCTCCATTCATGTGACCCCCTTCGAACATTTTTAACTGGTAACCCTGGTTAATAATGGGTAGGTGGTCTGTTTCTGGTTGAGGATTTTTTTGAAGGAATGGATAGTTTCTCTAGCTACCACATCAACAAGGGTGGCAACATTCATTCACTCAAAAGGAAAAGCCACAGAACCACGAGTGTTGGTGAAATTCAAGCAGGAAAAGGGGAGGATGCAACCTGGGACGTCCCCTCAAATACTCACATTCTGAACACTGGCAGGCAAATTCTGGGCAAGTGAGTCATTGGTGAAGTGATCTGGAGACCCTTCTCGGTGAAGGTGTTAGTCTCCATTGCTATGGTAGTGTTTAATCGATTCCAGCATTCACTCAGTAATGCTCTCAGAAGAGATTGCTGAATTTTCTTGCGGGTTTTCTTGCAGATTGAAGCATCTGAGATGAGGTGCACTAAGGTGGTGGGAAGAAGCTCATGGCTCCACTGCTTCAGCTACTTGTCACCTGATCCAAGCTATGTGCCACCTACAGAAATACATTCAGACAGCACTTGCATCTATCCTGTCACAGTCTCCTCATCCTTTGTAGCTTCTCTCATTTCAGCAATTCACAGTAAGGAGACAGGGATGAGGGATAAGGAGCTCTAAGCTGACAGAAGCCAGTTAAGGCAGTAAAAAGTGAGTAGGCAGCAGAGTCAGAGTGGCACATGCTATGAGGTTAGTGGTATGGTCTCAGAGCATCCTTAACCCCTTGCAAAAGCTTAGATAACCTTCAAACTTCTTGAATTTGATCCAAAGGCTGCTTCAGCCTTCTGGTCACCTGCTGAATTTAGGAGTGGAGAACAGAAATATGTGTAGATTGCTTATTTCTCACTGTTCAACCACATTGTTCAGATATCTCTGATTGTGTGGTGATTGGGTTAAAGTGATTGTGATTATTTTTAGACAGGATTTCTGAGCTTGGCCCAGCTCTACTTGCATGGATATAACTGGGGTTTTTTAAAAAGGGATCACTGCACCATTAAATAACCAAAGTCCTCTTTAAGGCACAGTGTTCCCTTTGCAGGCACTGAACAAGCAGCATCCGTCCCTACTGTTAAGTATTTATCATCTAAAAAAAGCAGAAAGCAGAACACTGAGGAGCATGAGGTCCAAAAATAAAAATGTATGTGTGTGTGTTCAGACCAAAGAAGTGATAGGCAGCAGCTGCACACTGTTTGCTCACTCATTTATTGGCTACAATTCTATGGTTAATTCTTGTTTTTCATTACAACATCCTATCAAATTCTGTTCCCTTTCACCTTAAAGATATTCTTTTAGATGCTGTGAGCTCAGAAAAATTGTATTTAGAAACACAAAGAATGACCTAAATAATACAACATTTAGAGGCTGTTTCTACCAAAATGTAGCCACAATCCCTATCATGTCAGAGTGGGAATCATTATGCAAGTTAATAAGTGGACTTCTAAAATAAAAGGATTTTTTTTCCTAGTTAATTCTGTGAAAACAGGATCAAATCTAGTGCTTCATACATTCAGGAGCTGATGCCTGCTAAGTGCAGTTCTTACAAGCTTCTTTAATCACAATGCTAAGAAAATCCTAGCTTTCTTTTTAATGTTTGATCAAAAATGTTTTTCTGGAACAAACCAAAACAAACAGAACCCAACCGGTCTTTTGTTGGTTACTCCACTTCCCAAAAGAGTCCAGGGCACTTGGTGACACAGCATCTGTCTCAGATGCTATTGAAGGTATTCAGTCCCTAAATGCTCTTCCACTGACATTCTTTTACGCTGTGGTATTTGACAAACTCATACAACTGGGCTAGAGGAAAGGAAAAAGGCATCTTTTGAATAAGGTGGAAAATGTTTAATCTTCTCTCCGCCTGATTATCACTGAAATTCTCAGGAACTTGTCTGTGCAGTTTCTACTTGCTTTCTACTTTAGGGAAAGCCAAGTATCCATGTATCTTTATTATTA